AAGAATAGAATAGAATAGAATAGAATGTGATATAAGCTAATCTAATATAATCTAATATAATAATATGTATATAATATAATATAGTAATATATAATATAATGAAATGAAATAGAATATGATAGAATAGAATATAACGGAATAGAGTAAAATATAATGGAATGAAATAAAAGAGAAAAGGATGGAATAGAATGGAATAGAATATAATATGATATAAAAAAATTGACTAGAAATCAGCCGATTTGGCTCTTTAGTGAATGTAAGAAATTCGAACATGAATTTTCTTTTCTTATGGCGATTTAACTAGTAATTAAATTCATGATTTTTATTATGTAAATAAGTTTTCTGTTTTTGGTCATTCATACCCATTCACTAACAATGCCACACACGCACATAGGACCTTCACCTTACTCAGAAATATGTTCTTTATTACGCAATCGCTGTAAATGTTGAAAAAATGAAGCCCAATCTTATTGACAGGATAAGATGCAATTTACAGGCTTTCTAATTATTCTAGACCCTCTTTGCTACTTTCGTAGAGATAAACGAACATGTGTGCACACACTCATCTGCGTATACGTACAAATCACTATGCCATATGACTTGAACTATCCTAATCTCGCTAAGCTTCATAAAATGCGTGGTTTAGAATATTTCCATAGTCATGCATTTATATTTTAATTATGTGCAATTGCGCCATCCAGTTGGCATTTGGCTGGCTGGGAGGCTTACCTGCAATCGAAGTTGTTGGCGCCAGTGAGCAGATGTGCAGACTTTTCCGCATACTCATTTTGACTGTGCCCAAGGCTTTGCGACGGTTGAGTGTGAAAGTGAAAACGACAGTATGCACAACAGACGTTTGACCGACTATACTGGACCTGTATGCTCGAGCTTCTGTGTTGGTCGTGAATGGCCATGTCATAGCAAAAGCGCGAGTCTACAGGGTCAGATATGGCACGGCTGTGTCTCAGACAGTCAGTTTGCGGTCGACGTCAGTCACTATGCATTGTACAACAAATCATTCAGCCTAGGTCGCCAAAACCGCATTCAAGACTGACAATCGGGCATATTGCATAATGATATGGACAGCATTCAGGATAGCGTTGCTATGTACAACTGGCATACTTTCAATCAGCTGCCAAATTCTCATCTTGTCCGAGGTGCTTATCCACTCAAGACCATTCCGAAATGCTGGCCGCACAAGCGGACTTGTAGGAGCTTCAACAAGGTCGCCAAATGCAGTTGAGTCTGCGTTGCCCATGTACTTTATGTATAAATGCATAGATGTACATACATATGTTTGTCTGTATGTATCAATGTATGAATATATATATATATATATATGTAAGTATGTATGTATGTATGCATGTATGCATGCTTGTATGTATGTTTGTAAGCATCTATGCATATATGTATGTATTTATATATATATATATATATATATCTATTTATGCATGTATGTATTTATGAATATATGTAAATATGCATGTTTGTATGCATGTATGTATGTATGTATGTATGTATGTATGTATGTGTGTGCGTTTATATATATGTTAACTTGTGCGCTTATGAATTTGCGATGCGTGAGTGTGTGTTTAGGTCAGGTATGGATGAAGAAATGATATGATCGATTCAACAAGAAGATGATGGTGAATTTTGTTGACACGATCTGTTTTGATTTTAGTGAAAGAGGGCTGACCTTTGGTGTGTATTGCCGGTTGAAGAGACTGTCAGAGAAGAGTGCCTGTACCATGACTACTTTGAGCCGGCAAGTCAAGTAAATCCGTCGTATGACATACACTCACTGTATGCATAACAGAAATCTATGCATTTTCGTGTGATATAAGGTGATTCGGCTAATTCTTATCATCATCTAGTCTGTAAGCATGTGCAGTGCGGTATTCATTTCAACGTTCAGTTTGGATTTAATGGAACTGTCGGATTGCAATTGTCCCCGAGGCAATTTACTCTAAAAATTCGCATAATAAAGAAGCAACGTGGGATAAAGCTAAATGGCATTTTGTATGAATGAAGAGGACAAACCGAAACAGTTTTAATGAGAGTAGATGTCAATCGAGTGTCGCGTCAGATAAAGGATGAACATGCTGACTCCAGAATTGAAGAGGATCGCATAAGGAATAACATAAAAGTGGGAAAATTCTAAAATCATTGCATCAACAACTTAAACAAAATGAGTGATTATATCTCATAAAACTCCGGATAAATATGAAAAAAAGAAATTAGCTTTAAGAATATTGCCAGAACATGTAAACGCCAACCGATAGACAAGAAAAGCTCCTGGCAACGGCTCTTCTGCAGGTTGGTTCTTAAAATGACATCAGCATTGGCTGTAACTTGCTCCACTTTTCGTTGGTACAGCACATTTGCTCGAGAAGCTGAGGCCAGGTTGAAGTACACCGTCACGTCATCGCGATCCATTTGTGTGCATCTTTAAGAACAAAGTGACAGTCAAAACGGCATTTAGGGACCAACAAGTCGGGAAGCTTTTGCCACTGCCTCTTTAGACAACACCACAACTGCGAAACCATTTAGTTGACATCGTCTCGAAGTCGCTTGAGACGATGAAAGAATAAAAGTTGACTTTTTTTCTTTTCTGTCCTTCTAAAAGCTATCTTCATCCAGACTCGAAGGAAATGGTCTCATCACCATCCATAACGGGACTCGAACTTGGACTCTGTGTGAAACGCATTAGATTGTGGGCAAATGTGTAAAACTGCCTTCATCCTCTTCTACAGCATCTACTCATTCGTATTAAGTAGCCTTCAAAAGTAACGGTACATGCTAATTGAGAGGTGAAGAGTTGCAAAAGCATCTAGACTTGTCACTATGCTCTCTAACAGATTTATCTTGTGTCAAAGTTTTAGACAGATTTTGCCGCTCAAGTGAAACAAGGAGGTATCAGGATGGGTGTGTTTCACTCAGAGCCCAGGTTCGAATTTGACTGAGGGTGTGGATTAGGCCGAGGCGACTGGATGGGAATTTATGCTCTACAACATTTTAGGTCTACTTTTGTGATTGTGTGAAAATGTCTCCATCAGTACTTCATCTAAAGCGATTTGGGATGCCAGTTTCTATGACCGATCAACGCGTTTGCTTTCGTGGCAAATGTGGCTTTCGACTCGCCGCCTGAAATGGGATTTCTTGCTTCATCGCTTTCACAAACGTCTGTATAGTCGGTCGTGGGAAGCATGCAATCACACAAAAGGGAACATATTCCTGATTGTGTGATTGACTAATTCACGTCGAATTGGGTCATTGGGCACATGAGAAGATGGCACACTTTTCCACTCTCACACACGGAATCATGTTCTCCTTTGTAGAGGCAAGAGAGAGAGAGAGAGAGAGCCTCACCGGCTCAGTCGACCACTTCTCGTTCTACAGTCGTTCTTCTATCGTCTCCTTGAAACTGGGCATGTTTTCCGTTTTGAGCATTTTCCTGTCGGAAAGTCGGCCATGAAGTGAGCATTGAGAAGAGACGCAGTCTCCAGGGCCAATCTCCACTCGGCGACCAGTCACAGAAGCACACAAGTTGGGCCACCTCTTCTGGAGACTGGCGTCTGTACATGGCAGACTCATTTTGCGAAGTTAAAAGCAAAAAGAACAGACTAGAATGAATATTAGAAGCGGTAATTTGTTGCAAAGTGACTGAATCGGTCTGAAAGTAGTTTAAGACACGTTAGTGCGCCAATAGTGGGTTTGTTTGTGTGCAGACTCGACAATGTTCGAAGGTGTCTTGCAGCAAGAACTCGACTTCCTCGACGTTTTTCGTAGACAACCCAACGAAATGTGTATGAACGAAACGTAAAATACACCAACTGCTCATCAAATGGGAGAAAATAAGACATATTTCAGCATAGAAATAGAAAACCCCTAAAACGACTGAGAATAGAAAGAGAAAATGCCAAAAGAAATGGGTCCTACCAACAGGTCAACCTGTCAGTGGTACCAACTGTTTGACCTACCGGGTGCCGCACTCGAATCGCCCTCTCGGGCCCGATTCTCGCTTAAATAGACATTTGGGCTCGGGGCGATGCCCACTCAGCGATCGGAGAAGAAGATTTATGCGATCGCCCAGCCAAATGACAATGTAAATTTCACACCCATGTGTGAAATTGGGCGGGGACAATTAGTTTTTTTTCGCTTAATTTATCACCTTCACACCGTCACGAACTGGCCTGGCAACAGCCGGTGTCAGGCAGATGAGCACCGGATCGCGTGGGAACACTTGGTCTCACCGGTCGGACCATCTGAGTCTTAAATCACATTCTCGCCAATCCATTGAGTAGCCTTGTTGATGTATGCATGTGCTCCACCATAAGCACTCAATCATAGAAATAGTTAATCGTCGAAAAGTGGCGAAAATATGTGGGGATAGGGTCGTCTTGGTGGGCTTAACTGCCCAACAGATTGAATTTCCTGCTTCAGCAGATTGTCACTAAACACTGATTATTCGAGTCCCAATTCGGCGCTCATTCAGGCCACCATTTCATCCCCACGAAATATACAAAGAAAAGTTGTGTTTTAATCAATCCCTTAAAAGAACATTGTCATGGAGACCTGCTATTTCCGGCAAAGTGTGATTAATTAAGCAATTCGCATTTCATTGCAGCAGTCTGGCTCTACATCGACTGCTTTCGTTCGGATGGAAATGAGCAGTCTTCGTGTAAATATGGTACATTTAAGGTGAGGAAGGAAGGGTAGTTGAATTCTGCCACCATCTGGTGAGCAGACATTAACATTCTATTGAATGTCGCATGCCTTTTCTTCACAAAAAGCTATTCTCATCCCGACTGAGGTGAACTACACTTTCGATCTCGCCCTCAGCAGAACTCGAACCAGCCTATACTTTCGACACCTTAACCACTACACCAGAGCGCCAAGGGTGCCTTTGGGTGAGAGAGGAGATAAGAATTTTTGTAGAAGCAGAGTTTTATTTGAAATAGCAATTAAAACGAAAAAAGATTAATGCAAAATAGGGTGATTTGAATGGTTATTTTTCAGACTTGTCAAAGTGATGATACTTTCTGTGTGGATAAATAGTTTTACAAGTTTGTACGCATATTCAAATGTATTTAGAAATACGTTTTCATTGCATATCATAAGCCATAGCTTCCAATTCATTCGTGTTTGGGCTACACTTTCAATTTGGCCTCGGCCTAATCCACACCCTCAGTCAGATTCGGACCTGGGCTCTGAGTGAAACACACCCATCCTGATCCCTCCTTCTTTCACTTGAG